ATACTAAATAATAATAATATAATAATAATAATAATAACTAATAATAAAATAATAATAAATCGTTCTATAACAATATTTATATAAAAGATTGGTCTTATTTAATACAAAATTATTTTTGATATAAAAAACTTAAAATAGATATATATAGAATCTTTTTTTATTTTAGTAAAGTTTATTTCCAAAGTAAGTTAACTTTAAGGTCTAATAATTAAAAATTAAGCTTATTTTAGTATTACAAAAAAATATTGAAAATTAGAAACTTTAAACAGTAAACATATATATAAATAGGTTTTATGTATAATAATTTGTAAATAACTTGCAAGTAAAACCTTTAAATAAACAATAACTAAAGTTATATATATAACTAATTATAATCATATTAATATACAAAATATAATATCTTTCTTTTATATTGGTAAAAACTAAAAAACACTTAATAAAAACTATAAAACTAAAGAATTTTCTTTATAAAACTGAAAAAAAAACATATAAACTTTAATTAAAAAAATAAAAAGTTATATTAATAAAATTATAACTTTATTTAACTATAACAAATTTATTAAAAAAAACTTTTATTTATTATTTTTTATTAATAACACTAAATTATACCAATGATGTTTAACATTATATATATATTTAAATAGTTTGCTAATAAAGTTTAGAGTTAAAAAACCTGAACTATAGTAAAAATATAAATTTAAATTTTAATTAGAATAAAGTTTTTGAAAATACTAAACATTTTTATTTAGTATTTATAACATGCATTAGCTAGTACATTTCTGAAATATAGCAATTATTATGTTAAGCATCATTGATGTAATTTAGTAAAACTATTTTTTATTATTTTCTATTATATTTAAAAGATTTGCTATTTATCACTACTGGTAATTATTATCAGTGTATAATAAAATAAAAGTTTACTATTTAACAAAATTATTTTATGATTCTAATAAAAAAAATTTGTTGTGAAATTCTGAGTATAAACTTTTTTTTATTCTAATACAAACTTTTAAACCTTATCTAAATATTAAAAAAATCGATTTTTGCTTTGATAAAAATTTAAATTTAAATATTATAAATCATTAGTAATAATCACCAGTAATTATTATTAGTGATAAAACAAAGTAATTTTCTATATCTAAAATATTAATTATAAACTTATTTTTTAGATCTTAACAAAAAATTTTTTATAAAATTTAAATATAAAATATTACTTTAACAGATTGCAAATTAATACTTATGTATACGTAATACACTGTATAAAATTAAAAATTCTCATAATAATATATAAATTTTTAAAAAATTTATAATAGTATTACTTTTATTAATTCTGTAATATGCCAATCAAACAACGAAAACCAAACCCTTACTTATGAATAGGGTAAGAATAGGTTCAAATTTTTACAAGAATTTTTTTTTGTTAAAAGCCAAAAGGTGGTTTCATAATCGAAAATTTGAGATATCGGTTGGTTTTGATATTGCCCGTGTGTATACAGCCCGTGTACAAATAGAAATTGTCTTAATATAAAGTAAATTTTTACTACGTACTATAAACTCTCAAAATAATAAATACTTACTGTAGTATTATTTAATACCTATCGTTATACATATCGATATATTATTTCAAAATTTATCTAATTATAGGATCTTCATGACTAACATAGTACGTAAGCAAAAGTTATGCAGCAATAAATAAGTTGATTTATTGTACGTATGAGATTAACAAAAACTATCTGCATGTGATAACCGTGAATAACCATAAAGATTCTTCATGGTTATCATATGCATTTTATAATGAAAAGTAAAAAAACCATGAGCCAGAATTATGAAGTGTGTGTTATTTCGGGACACGCATGGGCGTTATTCCTTTCCATAACGAGCTCGCTTGTAATTTAAAATTTTATAAGTTTAGTATAAGAAATGCCGTGAATTCTAAAGTTTCCTATTTTTCTTCCGCCAGTTCGTTATGAAGAGAGTTACTATATACTATTTTTAGGGGGCACGGAATTTACGGTAAACTCGGCGCAAATACACTTGGAGAGTCAATTGTATTTGATTATATTCTTATTGTTCAAAATTTCAAAAAACTTTTATTGTACACCCTCAAAATATATACAATATTAGGTTATTGGACCGAACTGGTCAAATTGGTCAACTGGCCGGATTGACGACCGTTTACCGCCTGTGTCAAACTGTCATTAATATAGTCAAAGCATGTGATTATAATAATCATCGAGACTTCTTTTTAATTCTGTACCAAATAGATTAATTGTAAATTAATAAAATAGCTAGAATAACGATAATAATGATAATGCACTTCCGTTGCCTAATATTATAAAAATAAATATTATTAAAGTTTGCCAAAACTTTAATCTAAATTAGTGTGTAGCTTAGCTATTAATAGAGGTTTTATTTAGCCATAAAAGAAAATGACTATGTTAGAGGCTACTACCGAACTCGCTATGTTTCAAAACCCCGCATTAACGTAATCGAGAGTAAGAGAACCCTTTAGATTCCCCTTGTAACCACAAGCATTTATAGCAATAGTGACGTTTCTAAGTGCGTAAAGACCACCAGATTACGTCATATGATAAAACAATAAACTTATAGGCTGAAGTTGTATTTCAAAGCCCAAAAGCCAATCCAGTTAGACTAAACTGGTAAATAAATGGTTCGTCAGGTTGAATGTGACTATTGTATTGAGAGGTTTTAATTAGTTCGTGAACATATTTTATGTAACCTAATAGTCGGGAGTTACCACAAATAATTGAACATATGACCTTTTTTGTATTAAACCATTTCTCACGTGAGCATTGTCTTATATGCAGATGACCCTTTGTCTGGGGCGTTTTGTTTGTACTTTACTAATTTGGATCATTCCCACGATAGTCAAATCGGATGTATTACAATAAAGGTTTTTTACGCACATGTTAAAGTGGCTTTTATAAAACGGTTTTCAAGTTTTTAAACAGTAATATATGTACATCGTACGTGCATACGGAAATACTTATTTGTGAGTGAATCAAAAAAGGAGACAATTTAAAATATTCTAGTACATAAAATTAGAAATTTAGGTTGGAAAATTCAAAGCCATGGGAATAAGTAATCATTTACTATATGTGAAATTTCTTTCCTATCATGTTTTATTAGCACTTAATAAGAGGTTTAAACACTCATTTTCTTATATTTTCGCTTTTTTTCGTTTTTTTTGCCAGTTTTTCTTCGCTTTGCGCACGTGTCGGACTAATCCGGGACATGCAAAATTTACGCTTTTCAACTGGTAATTTCCATTTTTAGGTTTGTGTTACCAGCACAAATAAGTACCCGCCCGTGGTGAACGTGACGGTATAAAAGAAAAAAAAAAAAGATACAATACGAAATTGTACTCATTTGTTCTTTTCCTGATGACAACTTACAAGTATCTCAAAGGTAAAAATGTCGGAATTATTGGTTGTCCCTTTAGTGGTGGGCAGGTAAGTTATTTGCTTCAAAAGTTCAACTATTTAAAACGAAAGTTTTATTCTTTATTAATAATTATTTAAAAAGCCCAAGGAAGGTGTGGACGAAGGTCCTATAAAGATGGTTGAATATGGTCTAATAGATCAAATTTTAGAAATGGGATGGAATGTGGAATTCGACGGCCATCGTAAATTAACTGATCTTAAACCAGCTGATGATCCTAATATAGGAAGACTCAAAAAACCTCGATATGTTTCGCGGGTGACTAAAGCAGTTGCTGATGCCGTCGAATCAAATCTTAGAAGGGGGCAGTTGGCACTTACTCTTGGAGGTGATCACAGCCTTGCCCTAGGCACGGTCTCTGGTACCCTCTCCGTTTATCCCGAAGCTTGCCTTATCTGGATCGATGCTCATGCGGTATGAATACGTTTTCAAATTTAATATGATTATTTGACTCCCTATTATTTTACGACAATTTTTTTGCATTCTGTTTTATTATAAATAACAACTAATAGGATATTAACACTCCTGACACTACCGAATCTGGTAATTTACATGGTTGTCCTGTATCCTTCCTGCTGGCAGTTGACGACTTGATTCAGAAGAGAGTATCTGAATTTTCATGGTTGAAGCCTCGACTCCGACCTGATAAACTTGTGTATATTGGATTACGAGATGTTGATCCACCAGAAAAAGAGATTTTAAAAAAATACGGAATCAAAGCTTTTTCTATGTACCATGTAGATAAGTATGGTATTGGCAAGGTTGTGGAGATGGCCCTTGATGCGGTGAATCCCAAGAGAGATCTTCCTATCCATCTTAGTTTCGATGTTGACGCGCTAGATCCGACAGTTGCACCGAGTACTGGTAATAAATGCATAATACTTAATACTTTCCATTTGAATTATGATGCAATTTTCTGAATGATTATATTTATTTGATTATAGGTACTCCGGTTCGTGGTGGATTGACCTTTAGAGAAGGACATTACATCTGTGAAGCAATTCATGAAACTGGTCTTCTTGTCTCAGTTGATTTAATGGTACGTAATCTATGACTTCAGTGTTTACCTTAATATTAACGCTTATTTTTATTTTACAGGAAGTGAATCCATCCCTTGAAGATGAAGTAAGTGTTTTTGAAACAGTAACGGTTGGATGCTCATTGGTTCGCTGTTGCCTTGGTAATTATTCTATTCTTTTGCTATGACTTTTTATAATTATTATTTGGCAATAGTTAAATATTTTTTATTCATACTGTAGGTGAGACTTTACTGTAGAACTACGAAAAATGTGTGTGCATAGTGTAATTTCGAACCGGGTTATAGTTAACCGGGTCACCCGTGTCCAAAACGGTTCAACCGGATCAAAAATTTACAGCTCGGGTCAAAACGGTTGAATATGTAACCTCTAAAAGTCTGTTACTTATTACATAGAAAACATACAATTTAAACATATTATTATTGCATTACAGCGCATTTGTAAACTTCACCCAAATTTTTTGAAAAAGTTTGACTAATGGTTGAGTCAATTTAATTTGACATCACATATACAAACTAGAGTTATTATGATAATTGTAACCCATCTTCACACCATTTAATCCATCTTTCCACTATATCTGCCTAATTTCTCTAATCCCACAAATGCGCTGTAATGGTATTGTGAAAATAAACACCCTTTTTTTCTTACTAATTTATCTAAATGTTCAATCCCGCTAATCTGGATTTAAAAAAAAGTTACAAACTTTCGGAGGCTACCAAACGACTATCTATTGCGAGAATTTTGCTAAAAATTTTTCTTTTGTATAAGCTTTCATTATGATATTCTTTGCTTTGCTAATATGTAATACACTGTGTGTTCGACACGTTCGATAGTACCCGGTAATTCGTAGCACCGGGTTCGGGTTATGTAACGTGACTGCGTGAATAAAATTATAATTACGTACGTACGAAAAATGTCGTAATAAATTAAAATACACTTTTCCTTTCGTAATACCTTCCATTTAATAATAGTAAATTATTACGTAATTACGAAATGATTTATTTAGTTGCTTTATTACATATTTTGTAGTTAAAAAGTTATGACTACGCACATTTTACGTAATAATCTCTACAAAGGGTCAATAAGGATAGAGCTTCTTCAATAGTTTTCTTTGTACCTTTGATATATTTCATTGTACCTTCTGTCGCTCATTCCATTTGTAAATAAAATCCAACAACTTAATGCTTATTATCTGAGCTATTTGCGGCAGTATATAACCAACGTACCGTATAGTGCTGCATATAGTACCTGGGGACCCGGTTTTTTTAAATAGTGAATCGACCATTTAGGGCAACCTGCACATGTTTGGCATTAGGAAAATGAGTGCTTGTTACGTTGTGTATGTTTCCTTGTGGTGCTTATTAGGTGGAAGTACCTAAATGATACTCCAGTTCAAGTATAATAGCCAAGGAAATAAAACGCGTATTCCAGATCGGCACATATCCCAATATTTTGAATAAATTAACAACTTCATTCCGCAACGAGTACGACGAAGAGAGAATACACTAAATGCATCATCATTTCTAAGTTTATGTCTTTGATGTTGTTAGTCGAAATACCTTATTGTCAAATATTTGGACAATTTTGTGTCGAAATATATCATGTCAATTCTAAAATACAGTAGTTCTAAATTAACGATAGAAAGGGCTTATAAATTAAAGTAACTAATATTTGAATTGATAGTAATTCGGATCCAATTTATAAACATTTAGCATAGTGAGTGCTATGTAAAAGAAAAAAAAAAACATAAAATGTAAGAAAATTTTCAAGTATCATTTGGAAAAGCTTATATAATTAAACCTGCTTGATAGGGAAAGCAACCGTTTTTTGAATCAAATTTATTTTAAAAGGTATATCGATATAGTGAAATTTACAAAATAAACAAGTTCAAATATTATTGCATTAACCTGCGCTAAATTGATGTCGAGTTATGAAGTTCTTCCAGGTCACAACACTATTCACAGGTTTGTATTTATACTATCGTATTATTTTTTTTTTCGATAATATCGAATCGAACTCTACCCTCGAAAATTTTTTTAAAAACCAGCCATTCATGATTTTCGCCTTCAAACCGTTTTCAACCGGTTCACCGATTTCATTATATGAGTAATCCAGGTAACGATTTTGCGTCCGGTTCGGACTCTTGATTTCGTAATTTGAGGTGATTTGGTTAAAAGTGGATTTGTAATATTACCGACATGTAGATACCAATAAATCATAAATTTGATCCGTTTATTCCATTATTTTTGCATTCACACGAGTACCATGTGGCTTCCGGGTTACATATACATCAATTTATAGTTCATTTGATATGGCTATTGGAACCGTTACATTTGTAAAGGGGGAATTTTCAATTTATGAAAATTTGAAGTGATTTATTATGTAATTCGGTTTTGTTTAAGATTTAGTAAAGTTTTATATAATAATATATATATTTAGAGAATTGAATTTTCACACCTTTTTTTTGATGTCACCTCCCTGTAATTTGAATTATTTATAAGTTTTTAAAATGTTAGTCGAAGGCATTTCAAAGTTTTTAAAAAAAATCTTTGCCGTGATTTTTGTTTTGAAATTGAAGGTACTCCTAACCGGGGGTAGTGTTACAAATCGTTGGTGTCTAAAAAGTTCAATCGATTAGTTGTCAACTAACCAACTACCCGATTTATTTCGATTTGTATCACTAACCAGGGGTACCGAAAATTCACAATCACGATCAGTTAAATTGTTACAGATAAACAATTGATTGTGAAATAGTTGTAATTAATTAATTGCATAATCCTGTAATCATAATAAGAACTTTAATTTTGACGTCAAAGATCAGCAAGTTATTATATTTACAAACTGCAGCAAAAATTGCAATTGATCAATTGTAGCTGTGTCACCAATCAACAAATAATTGCCCTCACAATCTCCTAACTAAATTTGATAATAGTTTTATACGTAGAAATTTACCAAATTTTGTTAGGTAAATGACAAGATACTTTTGATTAAGGCTTTAAAAAGTTTGTTATAATTTTTATTTATTAGATGTTTTAAACGTTAGTTTAGTAATATAAAATTTGATATTAAATATATAAAAAATTCGAATAAAGTAAATATATGACAATAATATATTTGCACTTTTTAAAAAAATAATAAAAGGATTTAAGATAAAACATAAGAAGCTAAAACAATATCTCTTCCGAATTGCTCATATTTTACGTTTACTAACTTTGGCAAATCATCATTAACTTCTTCCTAAAAATAAAATAAAATAAAAACTTATTACTCATTATATAATATAGTAATTAATAAACCAATTAACTTATTTTATATATTACTTCTATTTGACTGTTTGTTGAATTTTCATCAATAGCTAAAATTCCATTTGCACCAACAAATACGGGTGCAATAGTAACAATCAATAAATCTACCACGTTACTTTTTAAAAAAGATTTGATTATCTTAGCACCACCTTCTACCATTAGTCGACGAATTGAAAAAGGTGGTAAACATAATATTGATAAAACATGAGGAACTGAAAGTTGCCCTAGTATATATTCATTGAATTTAATATAATAACTAAAGCACTTTTATATAAAATAAAAAAAATATTAATATACCATTTTTGTTAGTTTCAATTGGAATAACCACTGCTCCTTCTTGCTCCAGTAACTATATAATAGATATAAAACTTCAGATAATAGCTATGTAAAGATTTAATAATAAATAAGTACCTTTCTTTTATCAGAATCATGCTCATAACTAGTAAAAATTAAAGGTGATTTATATCCATTCGTCTTGGATTGTAACAATACTTTTGATGAAAGAGGAAATCGTAATTGAGAATCTAGTATTATTGGTCTTGGCTGACTAATTGTTGATTCTAGTTCATCAGGACCTAATAATCTTGCTACAATTATTAAAATTAATAAAAATCAGTAAATAAACTTTGGAAATATTTTTATTTATACCTTTTGTAAATTAAAATGCTTAATTTTTGAGCAAAAATATCCTAGACAACTACCAGGTTAAATTTGAATTTCTTTTAAATTTTATGGATTTATAAAGTTAAAATAAAAAAATCATTAAATTTAACCTGGGATAGAGACCTGCATTGGGTCTCGAAGCCGGGCCTGAAGCAAACTTTTACAATTGCGTGCCAGAGCGGGCCTAAAATTTTTCAAATTTTAATAATAAATTTTGCGCGCTGAGCCGGGTCGGGCAGCTTGAAGTATATATATATGCAGGCCGGCAAAAAAATTTAAAACTAAGTGCGGGCCGGCCGGACCACAAAAATAGGTAATTTGCAGGCCCTAACCTGGGATATTTTTATTCAAAGTTTTAAAAAATTTTAAATCTATCAAAACAGGTGCCATCTTGCTAAATCTAATAACCTTTTTTTTTTTTATTAAATTTTACAAATTTATAAAATTCAAATAAAAAAGTTTATTAAATTTGATTTAATAATTGCTAAGTTATCTAAAACTTTAAATAAAAATATTTTACCAACTATTGAATCAAATTTAATAAATCTTTTTTTATTTTAAATTAATAAAATTCAAGTTAAAAAATTTATTAAATTTGGTCTAGTAATTGCTAAAATATTTTTTTGTATAAAGCTTAACAAAACTTGCAGCTTTTATTTTGAGATATTTTAAAATGTTTTAAAACTTTAAACAAAAATATCAGTAAGCTTTATTTATTTAAATCTATAACTGTATAGAATTTAACTAAAAAAACTTCATTGCTAAGATATCATTACTCAAAGTTTAAAACAAATTTGATACGACCTCTGTTAATAAATATTTGAACTTTTTTTACCTTTGAGTAAAGATATTTCAGCAACCATCAGGTAAACTCAATAAGCCTTTTTTATTTGAATTCTATGAATCTATAAAATTCAACTAAAAAAAGCTTATTGGATTTGACCTAATGGATGCTAAAATATTTTTATTCAAAGTTTAAAAATTTTAATCTGCAGGAAGTATGAATATCAAAATTTGGAGAATAAAAACCAATCCCCTAAAATTTGATGGAAAACTAATTTCAAATCAGACCTGTTAATCGCGGGTTATCATTTAATAATGTACCAATGCCGACTAATATGCCATCATGCAAAGTTCGTAATCTAGGAATAAGAAAATTAAATTTAGCTAATGAAAATAAGAACCCTTTAACACTGTAATTACCTATGCGTCATTACGAATGATTCTTCGCAGCTTAATGCTAATTGTTTTCCATGATGTCCTGAGATTCTGCCATCAAGACTTTGCGCATAAGTAAGAGTTACAATTGGTCCATTTTTAGATTTCGGATTCACAATGTTTTCTAAAAGTGAAGAACAAAAGGACTTGGCACGATCGTGAATAGACATTAACTATATAGTAAGTTAAGAATTAACTATATAGTAAGTTAAGAATAAAGAATATAAATTGACATTTATCTTTATAAAATAATAATCTTATTATTGGTTGTAATGTAATTTATATATGACACCGATAAGGGAAAACCTATCATCAGGGGTTCAGTCTATTTGATTTTTTTTTAGGTATTGTACCCGACAAATCATGAATTTAAAAGCCTAAAGTGTGGATTTCCCTTGTTGGCATCCATATAATACATTATTAAGCACCTCTCGGTAAGGAATTTCGATATTATTCCTTAACAAATTATAGCTGTTCTAATAAATTCTGGGACAAATTATAAAATTTGCTCATTACTCGAAATCTTTTCGATCTTGTTCTGTAAACGATTAACTTACATCGTTGTCTCCGGATTGAAGGTTCGAAGACAGCGATGTAGTTTCCAGAGAGTTGGGTAATTTACAGGAAGAAACCGAAAATATTTCGGGCAACGAGCAAAATTTTTAAATTGGTCCTAGAATTTATGAGAATTGAATAATGTTAATTGCTAATTACCTAATGATTTTATTTATATCTATATATTTATTTATTTTCAGAACCTGATTTATGCTTTGCGTAGAAGACTGGGTTCTTAGGTACAGATGGACAAATTGATGAACTTTTACAGTAACAGTAAGTAATGAGTTCACTAATTTCATCCAAGTTTCCATTGGCCATCGATGAATGGCATTTTTGAATCGACAATCTTTAATAAAGTGATACCAATCCTAGCCAACCATTTTTTGCGTACTAACAAAAAAAATTTCTACAGTCACCTCATATATAATCACACCAACTTTATGGGCACCATTTTGTTGATATTACATATATTTATTTAAAAAAACTTTCTATAATCACATTACTATGTATTAAATTTTATAATCACATCTTTTTTTATCTAAAACAAACAGCGTGATTATATAGAGTAGGACGACTATAATTCACTAACCCTAATCTTAAATAAGATATATTATAAAAAAGGTGATGATATGTAAATTTATGCGAATAATCCCAGCTAATAGGAATTTGAGGGAAATTAGTACGTATAATCACCTAAAGCATAAATTGTATTCCTGATATCTATATATACATAATAAAACAATCACATCAAAAAAGTAACCCTAACTCTCAAATTTGGTATATTCTCTGATGATCTAACGTTAATTGTTAAAAATCAAGTTTACCAACTTTATGTGATACTATGTAACTGGTCAAAAGCTATATTTGGTTAAATCAGTTATAAAATTCAATGTCAACGTTTTAATTCTTTTTGACAGTTTTCATAAATTTCGGTGGTATATAACAACAATTACTCGTCGATCATACAAATAAATAGACGATCAATCTATCAATAATGTTTAGCATTCAAATTTTGTTCTCTTTAAGTTAATATGCATAAAATATTTATTCCAAGATACACGTTAATACGTACAAAACCTGTTAAATTTTCAAAAAATTTGATTGATCTCATTAAAAATAATAGATCAATTCATAATAATCATGATAATAATAGTTCAACATTTGAAAAACCATCAAAACCTATCATTATAGACACTGAAGGAAGAGATGCAGAAGATGTATGGAGAGATTACAAAACATTGATCAATACTAACAACTTAGATATATTGGATGTAACAGAGTTCAACAGGATACTTGGTGTATTTGTAAGAAATTTATCAATTCCTGGGGTTTATGGGAAAATGTTGACAATATTCCAGGATATGCGAGACTTGGCCAAAGTGAAGCCAGATGAATCTACATATAATATTATGATGTCGATGTATCTGAAGAGGAAAGATCTCAAAGGGATAAATATTTGTTTCGGTGACATGCAAAAACAAAAAATTATTCCAAACACCATAACTTACAATATAATGATAAAAGCTATTAGCAAATTTAGCAAACCTGATACTGCAATGACTCTTTATCGTGAGATGATTGAGAGAAAAATAAAGAGGAATGAAAAAACTTTCACCATGTTGTTTTGTGCATGTTCCATTAAGCGTGACGTACCTCTAGCTCATCAATTTTATAACTTTATGCTTAATGAAGGATTGCAACCAGATATTTATACTTATAATGCTTATATTAATGTAATTGCAAGGAATGCAAAAGATCTAACGGATTTACAGAAAGCGATTGATGTTATTAAACAAATGAAAGAAAAAGGTATAAAGCCGACACTAGTAACATATAATATTCTAATAAAGGGTTTACAAACAATGGGAAAACGTACTGAAGCATTACACCTTTTCGATCAAATGGAGATCGAAGGTGTAAAACCAAATTCTTCTACTTTAGAAGGGATTGGCATAACTGGATTACAAGCTTTGTTAAAACTGAGAAATACTTATAAAGTAACGCCAAGCCATAAAGACTTCAACACTTGTATGGATCAAGCTCTCAAAGAATCAAAATACAACGACGCTATGGAAATTCTTTCACATATGCAAAAATCTGGGTTTAAACCGAATGTTTCAACATATTCCATATTGATGAATGCCCATATCAGGCAGAATGATATGTTTAGAGCCATGGAATTATTTACTGCAATGAAGAATGACAATGTTGAACCTGATGATTATATTTACGCTTCCCTTATTGATGGTTTCTTGGCACATAATAATGTTGAACAGGCTTTCAAATTAGTGGATCATATGTTAGAATCCAAGGTTGAGTTAAATAAAATGACCGTAAATAGATTAATAGATACTGCTTCAAAGTCTAAGGATCCTAGATTAGTTCAAAGGGTATTTGAACGAATAGAAAGGTTAACAGTACCAAATAAAGATGCTTGTGAAAGAGTTCTCTGGCGAATAGCTCAATCATATGATGTATATGCAGTGGAAAAATATTTAAAGATAATGGATAAGCACAATCATATGATTAATAGAGAAACATTTACTGCAATAATCACTGGTGCAAGTAAAGGTGGCAACTTACCTCAGGCCAGATATTGGTATAATCTAATGATTAAACGAGGAATTGCGCCAGATCATATGTTACTTTCAATGATTATAAGAGCCCACGCTGATGCAAAAGAAATAGATAAAACTTTATCATTTTGGAATGATTTTCATTACTTTAGTATTGCGCCTGATGATGATGATATCATGTATGTACTAAAATTATGTGCGGAAACAAATCATTGGAAGGATGAAATCAGAATTCTTGGACAATTAAAGGAGTTAGGTTATGATGCTGATTCATACAAAGAAAAAATATCAGAAAAAAAGCAACAATCTAATGACGGAATTGAACCAAAGACGGACCCGGATGAAGAGTATTATGAAGAGTACGGGGAGTACCTTAAAGCAAGATTGGCTAACAAGTCGGTTATAAAGGCAAAGGAAAGAATGCAGAAATGGGTTTGGAATGTAGCGAAAATAAGTTCTCAGAGAATGGATGATAACGCTAAAATTAGAGTTGAACAATGGACTCCTTACAGGAAACATGACTGAGACAAAAGGTTAAAAATTAGCACGTACGCAATTCATTTCCATAAAATGAGATTTTTTTTTGACATTTTGAACTATCACAATCATTGAAACAAAATCTGCATTACCAAAATATTTGTTTTCATTACATTACTAATTTGTACTCATTGAAAGACGCTTAATTAAAATTAATTATTTATATATTTACGGGACATGAAATATCAAACAGGCTGCTATTAAATTTCGATTGATTGCAGTATTAAAATTGTATCTAATTATGGAAAATTCAACCGGGGTTAAATCACCACCCAAAAATTTTTCAGATCATGTGATATGAACTAATTTTTTTTTATTATCATTATTGTATTCTGTTATATATCGATATATCGTTCTTGTTATTATATATATTGTTCTTGTTATTATATTTATTTTGTTATTTATCGTTATTGTTATATTTATCGTTATTATTATATTTATTATCGTTATTATTATATTTATCATTATTGTTATATTTATCATTATTGTTATTTTTATCGTTATTGTTATATTTATCATTATTGTTATATTTATCGTTATTGTTATATTTATCATTTTTGTTATATTAATTGTAACTTTATTTTAAAGATTTTTCGTTATTTGCTAATAGAATTACAATTGATAATTTAAATGTTTCATTTGCAGAATTATGCTATATATCAATGTATTTAAATAAATACTATTTGTTATTTTTAAAGCCAAAACGTATTATGATTTCTATTTTTCCAAGTCTTTGGAATCTGCTTTTGCTTTTTAAATTGGTTACAGTTTTCTACAAATTTGCGTATTGGTCCAAAGTTCTTGTCGATATCATCAAGCCATTTATTACCATTTGGATTCAACATATTTTCTTCAAGAATTGTTTTTGTTGAATCAAGCAATTCAAAAATTTCTTGCTTTCGCTTTTTAAACAGAATTAAGTCTTGATTAATAGAATCATCATGTTCTTGTAATTGACATTTTGATATTTCTTTAATTTGATATTCCAATGCTTCTTGAGTTTGATATTCTGACATTTCTTGATTTTGATATTCTGATGCTTCTTGAGTTTGATATTCTGATGCTTCTTGAGTTTGATATTCTGATACTTCTTGAGTTAGACATTCTAATGTTTTTTGATAATTGGATTTTTTATTACATATAATTAATTTACAAATTTCAGGAGTAAGAGTTTCAACTGCAAGATAAACATTTTTTGGTAAATCTAAAAATGAGGATTTATCTTTAATTTTCAATAAAGGATATGATTCTTGATGCGTAATCTTAATTAAATAAAATGTTAAATTTTAAATTATGCAATTATAATTTCATTACATACTTACTTTTTTAAAAAATCCAGGTTCTATAGGATTACGCATTTGTACTAAATGCTTACAAAAATAAAATCGATTTAAAAGAAAATTAGAACATGAGCATACCCAAAATGAAAGATTAGTAATATGATTAGGGTTGTTCTTAATTATTTCAGTTGATAATTTTTTCCATTCAGCTCGAAAATCTTCACGCCATTTTGTTATACATCGTTCATCACGTAACAATTGTAATCGATCAATCTGACATGGAATAACTTTAGTAATAATAATATAAATAATTAAATCCAATCGTGCATAATTATAATTTGAAAAAAAATCATGCTTTAAAACTCGCCAATGGCTTTCAATAGCCATAGTACTCCATAAAATATTAATTTTTGAATTTGATGCATGTACCCAAATTTTCCACATTTCGGGATGATACCACTCATTCCACAAGTATGCCCATACATGTGGAAGATTGTTTTTATAGCAATAGTCAAATTGCTCTTTAATGCATATATTCCAAATTTGCTTTGCATTCAAAAAATTCATGCCTTCAACTGGAATCATCGGATGTTTTGAAAAATGATTATGAATCATATAAAGAATACTTTCGCAAAAATTTTTTTGACAAAAAGTCTTATTTTTATTGTCATTGTTCAATTGCTCCTGATTTCTATTATCTGCAGATGCACAATTTTGATTAATTGGTTGCCAATTAGAGTTAATAATTGAACAAAGAAGATGCGCTTCATGCACATTATAATAATTATATGCAATTCCTGTGCTAGATAATTTTTTTTTGATAGCATGTAATGCATGCCAATAACATAATTGGACCTTTGCATTAGTCCAAATTTGGTTAATAGCAGTAATCTGTCCACGATCTTTGTCAGTTAAAAATATTTCAACGTCATACATTCCATTTTCTTTTAAATAAAACAACCATTTTGCTATTGCATTTGTTTTGCCATGTGGATGCTTTGGCTCAAGAAAAAAATAAGACAGTGGAAATCTGACACTGTCAATAATTCCAAGAGTAGCATATAACTCAAACTTTAATTTATTGGTTCCATATGTAGCATCTACAACAATTGTTTTTGTAACATGATCAGGTAGTATATATAATAAAGGCGTAGCAAAAGCTAACAAATGTTCATCCTGATAAAGAAGCTGAAAATTTAAATGATTTTTTAAATATAGTTGAGCAGATTCTAATTGATTATCTGATAATTTGTATTCTTTTGTAGCTATTTTTTTAGACCAATAATATACTTGATGTCGAGTAAGCTGCAAAAAACCATCGATTTTTTCTTTTTTGATATTCTTATACAGCTGTGGAACAGTTAATAAGTTATTCCTTATTATAGAATTACGAATTTGTATAGTAACATTCTTTGTTTCAGGTGATGAATGAAGAAAATGATAAATATTAACTACAACTAAATTATTTAATTGATCAATATTAATTCGAATAGTACCTCCACAGTCATGACGCTAAATTCTAATTGTAGTATCACGTTGATTAGTTCGTGGTTTCTTATTTTTTAATTCATCTCGACTATTGCAATAGTAAATAAATGCAACTGAATTATTTAACTGTTCATATTTATGATAGGTTCATGAAAAATGATCAGCCTTGGAAATACGATCAACTAAAAATTGTGTAACTTCTTTATATAATTGTTTTTCTGAATCCATATCAATAGAATTTACTAGTTGATCTAATATTATAAAAAATCTTTTTTCAAACAAAAAGTCGCTTAAATCATAATCCATTGGAAGTGTCTCAAGTATGTGATCTACAATATTTTCTGGTACTATTGCGTTTCTTTGATTTTGTGCTATATTTTCTTCCCGTTTTTGGTTATATTTTAACATAATTTTTGAAGATATTTGTGTTCGACAATCAAGACATGTTTTTGTCTCTTTTGTATTTGTGTTTTTTCCTTTTTTAAATGCCTCTTTTGGCTTTATAACATAACAATGTTCACACTTCTTCATTATGTTTTAATCACTTTCATATCAATAAAAATTTTTTATTTAATATAAAAAATAATTACATCATAATTCATATAATGTTACATGATCTGAAAAATTTTTGGGTGGTGATTTAACCCTGGTTGAAAATTCTATTCTGACCCGGATCAAAATGACCTTACCAAAATTTAGGGTTAGTGCGGGCCGGAATTATGTTGACACCAGCCGAGGTTTTTTGATATAATAACCTGGCCGGTGGAACCCAAAAAAGTTACGTAATGTAGATCATTATGTTGTAATCTTGTAATCGTTAATATCATTACATACGTATATACAGTAGCCAACAAAAGTAACACCCGATTTTTGATCGAAAATATAAAATTTTATTTATCTAATTTTGGCCGCAAATTTTTTATATATATTTATTTAATACCTTACTGAGTAACTCTTATACCATGTTCTTTATGTCATTGAGTATGCAATTACATGAAGAATTGATGTATCCAAACTTGATCATGCTTCTTTTAAGGCCATTTTAAACTCAGTTTTATTCTTTAAAAAGTCATCATAGTTTTGAATATTGTTCTTCATGATCTTTCAAATGTTTTCTATAGGGTTAAGGTCAGGAATCATGAGAGTCAATTAATATAATTTATGTTTTTTGATTTAAGTCAATCTGGAGCATTTTATATTAAAAAATTGAATGTAATTTATTTAACAAATAAATAGTAATTATAAATGATATTAGATGGTTATCTAGAATCTTAGTATAAATGTTTTTATTAATTTTTTTCTTAAGACCTTTGAATTATTAAAAAAAACCATAAGATTTTTGATATTATCAACAAAACATAATTAACCTATTATTGAGACCTTTTTATTTTTAAAATTAGGTGTTTACTAAGATAGTACTATACAAGCAATATAGATTTAGACAGATATACAAAAATTTAATTAAGTTTTAATAGCATGTACATTTGTTTTTTTATACTAGTATGTATGAATTATAAATTATTTTTTTATATTAGTATAAATTTATATTATAATTAAGTAAAAATATTAATTATTAAATTAAATAAAAGTATTGAATATTAAATTAAGTAAAGGTATTGAGTATTAAATTAAATAAAAGTATTATATATTTAATTTTAAAAAAAATATTATTAAAAAATTAAATGAAAGTATTAAATTAAGCAAAAATTATAAATTAAATAAAATAATTAAGTTTAAAATTATTTAACTTTAATAAAGATGAACTAAATATACAATATTTATTTATTATATTTTTAAGCATATTTTAATATTAGTATCTATATATAATACAAATTAAGCATTTTTTTATATTTTAATATTTAAACAATAATATAACAATATGACTTTTATATATCTAATTTCAAGCTTATTCTTAATTATTAATTTTGCAATTCAAGTTTTTAACTTTATTTGCTTCTTTTTTTACCTTTATTTGACATTTTAGCAAAGCTGTTTTTTTTTCAAGTTCAATACTAACAAAGGATTATTTTCTTGATTACTAGTAGTTTGAGATATAACTTTATTCTCTTTACTAATTTTATTATTTGAATTTATTACATTTATAATAGTTTTTAATTTAGTTATTACTTTATATTTTATTTGAGAATTAGTTTTTTAATATGTTTTTTTTTATTAATTATTGGTTCTTTTCTTTTGTATAAATTAGAATTAAAGAGATAT